CGTGCTCGAGCTTAGGGTGCTTAAATTCGAGCTCGAGCTCTTAACGAGCCGAGCTCGTTGAGTAAATGAGCCTAAAATCGAGCTCGAGCTCGACTCGTTACCTCGATCTCGAGCTTCAACGAGTCGAAATATAAAAAAATATATATATAAAAGTTCTATTTGCGAGTTTTATCGAGCCGACCCGAACTCAGATCGTTAGCCAAGCGAGTTTTAAATGAGTTCGAGCTCGACTCGTTAAGGCTTCGAACTCAAACCGAGCCGAGTCCGACTCATTTAATTTAAAAGCACTATGTATAACCCTTTAACACTGGATTTGTGTGTAATTTATTTTTCTTTGCATAAATAAAATTATATTGAAGTATATAGATTGACTGCTGAATTATATGACTTTTTTATAAGTATTTAAAAAATTTCAAATTATATATAGAAAAACAATAATTTGAACTTATTGTAATTTATTTAGTATTGTAATTGAAATAATTTAAAAATAAATGTTTTTGATAAATTGGTAGTTATTTCCCAATCTTTAAACTTTTTTGAAATAAAATTTAAAGCCTACAAGTTTAGGGGCCACAGTTAACATAGAGGCCTTGCTGGCCGGTCATTAGTGAAACAAAGTAATTAATATTATGGGCCTCGCTTATAGTAAAATAAAAGTTGTTTCAATAATGAAGGGCTTTAATTTATTGGGATTATTTATAACAGCCATGAATTATCAAGCTAATTAGTAGTTAGGAAGTTGCGCCATCAACTCACAACGACCATTCCACATACATTTTGATTTTCAACCATATGCTCAAATAATAAATAAATAAAATAAAAATAAAAATAAAGATGGGTTCCGAACAATCGTACGTAAAATAATGGGAGATGTTACAATTCCACTACGGAACAATTCTGTCGGGGTTTGTAACCGTTAGATCATCAAGTAAACGTTGGGATAGTTCATCTAACGATTACAAACCCTGATGAAATGGTTCCATAACGAAATCGTAACATTTTCATAAAATAATTGTTGTGCCACTATATCACCGCGCATATAAAACCTTAAATATTTAAATGTAAAGTTTTTGAAATTTTCAATTATGTGTGGATAAAATACATAAATATATAATGGATACTTATTATCTAATAGCAAGATCTTTATTAATCTCATCAAAACACCTAATATATTTCATATATTTATTTAACTGAGACCGGCCATCAATTAAGACACACAATTTAATGAAGTGTGATTTTGATAAGAAAGACAATCACTAAAAAAAAAAAATTACCAAATTCAAACAAAAAGTCCAACGGTATGATATTATAATGAAAAATTCCAACATATATTCCAATGAGATTACTCTCCTTGGAAAAAAGTCAATAAAACGTGTAATAAAAGAATTATGCAGGAATGATTTTTTCAAGTTAGAATTTGATGATTCAAATTTCAAACGATCATTTTTTCAACCGTGTGTTGTTGTAAGAATTTTGATTGGAAAGTAATTTTCATTAGAATTTGTATTTCGAGTCATATTTCAATCGTTTTAAAATTTCACATTGGAATTATCGAAATCCAACGAAAATTTCAAAAGAGAAATTCATTCCAACAAAATATTTTGGTTGAAATCTGTTGTAAAAAAATAGCATTGAAATTGGGAAGTTTTGTTCGTGTTTTTGGCGTTACGTATATCATCAGAACAAATGTATAACATAGTGATAATTAATAAATTTATACTTAGTTTAAAATATCAATATATGTCTAATAAAGATTGCATTAATATAGATTAAAAAATCATTTATTCACAGTAATATTTTTTTTACCCTTCTCCTTTTCCCTCTGACGTTTTAAAAAAAAAAAAATTAACCTAGCACAACAAAGTAAAAATGAGATTAATGAGAGTGTATAAATAGAGGCTCCTAGGGTTAGGGTTTGGACCATAACCTAATTATCTCTCTCTATCATCAGCCCCAATCCCTTTCGCTTTCGAAAAATAAAATAAAAAAAATTAAGCCTTTTATTTTTAAATTATCATAAAAAATTCTCCAAATAAATAAATAAATCGCCATGAGAAAAACTCAAGTGGTTGTGAGAAGGGACGACCAGAGCACGGCGAATTCTTCCTACGCCGTGAGGGCCGTCCGGTACGGCGAGTGTCAGAAGAATCACGCTGCCGGCGTCGGAGGGTACGCCGTCGACGGCTGCCGGGAGTTCATGCCGTGCGGGGAGGACGGCACCGCCGGCGCACTCACCTGTGCTGCCTGCGGCTGCCACCGGAACTTCCACCGCCGCAGGGTCGAGGCCGAGGCATCCGCCGCCGCCGGCGGCGGATCTTACGCGGCGGAGAACGGAAGAAGCACGTGAGAGAGTGTACGATGAATTATTTTAACTTTTATACATATTTACTTGGTGCGTGTGTGTGTGTGTTTTGT